TCTGAGGAAAAAGAGCTCAAAATCTCCCAAATCCCACCCATCTCTACAGGCCTGGGAGTCAGGTCTGCAAGATCAAGAGAATGGATGGCACAAAAAGACATTATACTATGAAATTGCAGAACCTGAGGGAATCGATGCCTGGTGCCTGATGTACTGTATGTATGTTGAAAGGCAGCTCAAAGATAACTCTTGCAGGTCTCATCTCCCCACGAACAGCAGACCCATCAGCCACACAGACCTGGACCAGTGATAAACTCTGCTGCCTTCCAGAAGGGGGTGGGTAAGGCAGGGAGCCAGTGGAGATGGCCGCACAGAGAACCTTGTAGCCATGATCGGTGTTTTCTCCAATCTTTCTTCTGTGTCATATGGTGACACAAGTGGGGATAAGTTTAAGTTCCAACTTGATTTCTGTTAACTCATCATTTAAAATCAAGTTCAAATTGAATTATTCTTTTGTTACCCACAAAAATTAATTCAGTTTATTTCTACCTATTCTTGATCTTTGGGAGATTTATGCAGCAGGGCACTTCTAAATGCTCCGTTCTTTCAGTAGATTGGAGAGATAAGCCTCCCTAATTGGTTACAGGTGGGGATTAGCCTCGGGCAATCAATCAATCCGGGGCTTCTGAATGACTGCTTCCTCTGGAAATGAATGCAAGCAAGCAGGAGGTGGGAAAGGAGCAAGCAAGGGAAGGAGGGAAGAAAGGTAGGTGTGAGAGACCGAGGACGTCATCAGGCTTATTTAAATGTATGTAATTGTAGAAAATGGAGAGAGAAAATGGAGGGAGGGAGGAAATGGAGTGTGTGTGTGTGTGTGTGTGTGTGTGTGAGAGAGAGAGAGAGAGAGAGAGAGAGACAGACTGACTGACTGACTCAGAACTGAAAATGAACAGGCAGTCAAGCAAAAGAGAAACTGAATTAAGGTTGGGGGGAAGGGTGGCTTTTTAAGGTGCTGTCTGGGTTTATCATTGCTTTCCTTCCAAGAAGCAGGCATCTTTAAATTTCGTGGCTGTTGTCACCCTCTGCAGTGATCATGGAGCCCAAGAAAGTAAAATCTGTCACTGCCTCCATATCTTCCCCTTCTATTTGCCAGGAGGTGATGGGGCCAGTGGCCATGAACTTAGTTTTTTTTTAAAAAAAGACCATTTTTTGCATTCTTCTCTTTCACCCTCATTAAGAGGTTCTTTAAGTCCTCACTTTCTGCCATGCTTTTGCATAGTCAATGAAGCAGAAGTAGATGTTTTTCTGGAACTCTAGCTTTCTCCATAATCCAGCACATGTTAGCAATTTGGTCTCTAGTGCTTCTGCCCCTTCGAAATCCAGCTTGTACATCTGGGAGTTCTTGGTCCACATACTGCTGAAGCCTGCCTTGTAGGATTTTGAACATAACCTTGCTAGCGTGTGAAATGAGTGCAACTGTATGGTAGTTGGAGCATTCTTTGGCACTTCCCTTCTTTGGGCTTGGGATGTAGACTGATCTTTTCCAACCCTCTGGCCACTGTTTGGTTTTCCATTGATGATGATAAAAAAAGCACACTGGTCCTTTGATATTGGGCTGTGGCACCAGGGTGGGTGACATGACCTTTAGCCTGGTTTGTTCCTTTTTGCACACCACACATAGAATGATTAAAGTGGTAGGGAAAGCCCACCCCCCAATTCTGCATTGGCTGTCTCTAGCAAGCATGTCATTGCTAGGGCCACTCTGGGAGCCACTGATGATGATTAAATCCTCTGCAAGCTAGCAAAAATTTAATGCAACTTGCTAGGCACGTTGGACACCTTACTACTCCCTATACCACACCATGGCTGGAGTGCAATGTGTTCCAGCAAAAATAGTGCATATCTTTATCAAATTTGGTGCATCCTGCTAGTTCGGTACACAGCCTGTGTAGATTCGATAATATTTTTAATTCAAATAATGTATGATTTCCTTCCTTTCGAATCAAGGGGGTAATGTCGGCATATATAAATTTTTGGAGAGGCAAAAGGTAAAAAAGTTCCCTGACCCCTGTTCTAGCTAGTTTTCAAATTTGTGGCATATTGGGGATGGTGGCTTGGTTGGGGACTTCTGCATGTTGGAGATTCATGATAGAATCATAGACTCTTAGCATAATAGAGCTAGAAGGGATGCCAAGGATAATGTATGTATTTAATTAATTATTATGCCACCCACTCTACCCAAAGGTAGAGTCCAACCCCCTGCCAGTGTAGAAAATTCATAGCTAAAACATCCCTTATGGGTGGCCATCCAATCTCTGCTTAAAAATCTCCAGTGAAGGAGAATCCACCCCCACTGACCTCCTGCCCCAGCAGTTGATTCCATTATTGAATGGCTCTCATTGTTATTTCAATAGCTGTGCAGTCACTGAAGACCAAATTAATGGATAGTTAAAATGAAACTTATTTAAGCACCTGAAAACATTTGTTGGCCAGGTGCTGACATTCAGCACCAGATCTTGTTTGATGGAGGGCTTTGCTTTGTGATTACCAAGTGGAAGGTCAACACAGCCTTCATTTGCAAGTCTGATAGCCCAGCCTCCTATCTCCTCAGAAGTCATGTTGTAGAAGTGTCATGAGTTCTGCCGAGGAAGATCTGGAATCAGAGGGGTTAATTACAGCTGAGGAAAATGCTGGGCAATTAGTGTCACTAATCTAGCTGAATCACTGCTAGATTCTCCTCTCCCACTAGCCAGAGTAAGGGATAAGCTTCAGCAGAGACTCACAACACAAAGGGACTCACAGGGACATCAGGTCGAGCAGTCCTGCGTTTTAACAGGATGGAATGTTTCTAGGAGTTAGATGATTGTTGCTGTTATATACAGTAATTTGTACCCAGAGACTTGGAAGTTTGTGGAAGCAACAAGTCAATTCTCTGGCTTGTGTCCACACTCCTGCTTATCTTGAACTCTGCTCTCTTGACCCTTGGCTTTTGTACTCTGTCTTCTGACTACGGTTTATGTTTTGTCTTTGACAATTTGGCATCTGCTTTGTACCTCCCAGACTTCTGACTTTGGATTGGCTTACTGGACTTTTACCTGCTGAATCCCCTAGGAACATGACAAGAAGGAAAAAAACAGGTCAACAAAAGGCAAGACATTTTTTCTCAAATATGGAATATAGCTCTCAAAATCAAGGACAGGAAGGAATAGCCCACCCTTTGATGTACAGGTGCTTACTATGAGTGCTAAATAGTACTTACATGGACACAACTCACCATAAATGTGGGTGCTCTCATCTCCTCTTGCTGGCTGCAGTGCCTTCCTCCCTGAAGACAGCAAGCCTCACCTTGGGGCTGAAATAGGGGCAATCTAGCAAGTGGCAGAGGACATGCTCTCCCCTTGCCCTGTTGCCTCTAACAAGGCAAGGAGAGAGTACCTTGTGGTTTTTTGTTTTTTGTTTTTTTTTGGGCGGGGAGGAAGGATTTTCCATTCTTTAATTGCTTTCTTGCTTTTTAAATAACTTTTCAAGTTTAAATTATATTTTTACTGTGGCATTTACTTTTGTTTTTATGTTCACAAACCATTTCAGGATCTCAGATATTAAGTAATCTATAAATATCTTAAGTAAAGAAATAAATAAGATCAATTTCTTCACATCAAGAGCAAGCAGTATAGGGTGAGCCCATACACAGCCCTTCCCCAGAACGCAAAATTTATCAGATAAGTAGCTCAGGAGGAACACTGAGGGTTGATTTCACAATCTTGTGAATCAATAAGTACTGGATACAAGGGCACGGGGGCATGGAAAAGCTTCCTCTGAATTGTTAGACTGTTGAGTTCACCCATCACACCAATATTTCTTTCAGTTTCTCTCTCGGGTGCAAATAAAGTATTTTTTGAAAATGGGTGGTTCTCATGGTCCCAAGGCAGTAATAGTCCATTAAAAATAGATCGATGTGGTTACAGCAGATGGTAGAGTGAGGCTGGGGATATAAAATGATTCTTGTGCACTTGCACTGCATGGTACATGTTCCGCAGATAAATAAACAGCAGCTTCCAAATTGCACGTTGCAAAATAAAAATGAAACCACCCCCACCCACCCGCTGGTACTCGGCTACCATCTGGCTTCCTTTAATCAAATATGTCTTACTGTATAAAAGATTTTGTTGTTTCTCATCACAGAAGCTGAAACCCAGCCTTTTGGATAGTAAAACAATGAATAATGAGCAGAAGCCAGCAGTGAGAAGCCTGTTGCATCTACATACTGTATTCCTGTATGTGTGAGGCAAAATTCTACTCTACATTTATTTTCTATATAGATTTTTTTTACCAAAACAAAAGCATATTCTTTACTTATATATTCCAGAAAAGGAACCAGGTGAATTAATTTATGTAATTAATATAAGAATCTGTTTTATATTTTTTTTTCAATGTGTGTGGAAATATGTTTAGCATGTTGAAGGGATATATGACGGCAGAAAATTCTGTATTGATTTATTATCACAACGTAAAGACATGCCCACGTCTGGAACAGGTCTGTATTCTGTAATTTTGTTGGAGAGGCAGGAATCCAGATTACACGTTATGAGAACAGGACAAATAATGTTATGAGGGTAGAGGCAATTTGAAGGCACCGAGAGTTTGACGAAGCTGTCTCTTCAGGTGTCCTGCCAAAGAGGCAAGGGCAGAAGCTGAGGACAGGGATGAGCGTTCTGACCCTGAGCCTAACTCCCTTGGTATACCAGCCCCACTTCCTCAGAACCCCCACCTGTCTGCACTGAGGAAAAAAGGATGTCAAGGGAGTTCTGCCTTCATCTACTGGACTGAGACTACAATGCAAAAGGTGACCAGAGACACTGATTTATCAGGGTTCTATTCTGTTCTTCATGATTTTTCCCACAATACACAGATTTTTAAAATTCCATTTGAAACCTGCTTTTACAAGGTGGTTTGAACATTTTGTATTTTCAAAATATCTTTTAAAAAGCATAACAATTGTGATTTTACAAGCACACTAACACCTAGAACTTCATACTCAAACGTCAGCTGATTTTTGTTTTTCAGTAATCTATTTGATACTGGTTTGGAACCACTCATTAACATGGTAAAAATGTTGTGGCTGTCCCAACAGTGACAGTCTTCACTCCCTAGATCGCTCTTCAGTTTACTCCTGGGATACAGAAGTTAGTAAAGGCCATTGTATAAATGTCTGATTCACAAACTGTAAGAAGACAGGGCGGCAGAATCAAAGAACAGCTTGTAAAATATGCAGTATGGTAGAAGTCCTATTTATTGGAAAAAAATTAATATATTTGCTATAAAATCTGTAATAGTAATGCAACTGGATACTTACTCTTGGATGCATAATCCTGAATATTACATACCAAATACAATACAGTAACACTGCCTTCCTCTTTATTTACACATTTATGAAAATCAATATGCAATCCATGTTAAATGAACTCAGAATGGAGAATAGTTACATTAGAAAAATAATATTTTGGATAAAGCATTCTCAAGGAATTCAATCACATTTTTTCAGGCCTCTAGCAATAAGGCAAAAGTCCCTGGTACAGCAGATAACTTAATTTACAAAATACAATAACTGTTGAGACACATTTTCAAGTTTGCTTTTGGTATGCTTTCTTTCACTGTAGAATCACTTTTATCTTCTTACTAAACGGAAAGACTTTTAGGAATGGAACTTGAGGAAGATCTACTACATATTATATATAAATTGCTGGAGCTTGGTAACTGGGAATTCTTCATTCTATTCACTCAGTGAGCTAATTTTAGGAGCATATTTTAAAGAATGACATCATTATGATTGTAATATCTTCTTTTTAGTTTTCATAGGAAACAGATTTGTCACATTTCAGAAGCCCTCCCCCCCCTTTTTTTTTTCTTTTTGGAACTGGCACACAACTACATTTTTCACACGAGGACATCACAAATGCAACTAAAACCAGGCTTGGAGCATTCTGGAAATGTATATGCCAAACCTAATTCTCTCCTTCTAATACTTTGGCTAGCTCATGCCCCAGGAAACACTCGGCTCCATTCCAGTCCATAGTCAAGTTGTTTTGATTCCTTCAAAGGCACAGAACTTCCATCTTTTCTCTAGTGTTGCTCCTACACCAGAAAACTCTTGCTTAAACATGCGTGGAAGCCTCATCAAAAGCATTTCTATTTCACTGGCAGAGATCTAGGAAAGCAGGAAGGAGAAAAAACAAGCAAAAGACATTTCTGTGATGTCGGGTTGAATGAGGTTGTCCAGTTAATCATGGTTATAAAGCCACTGCAACTATTAATGGTTTTGTTCTGTGTTTTATCTAGAGATGTCAGCAAAATCATCTTCAGCTAGGCTTAGGGAAGAATATAAAATAATTATTAGCCCTCAAATTCCTCTGCATTGTAGCTCCTGGAAATGCTACAGATTTTGAAGGCCACCAGACCTTTCTCTTCTTGGAAGAAAGGAAAGTATTCAGATGGTCTCAAAAAAGGATTCAGGTTCTTTGCAATCTTCAGGGATTTGGATTATTTCCCAGACTGTCCAAGGTGAGAAGGGGAAAGGTCACTGACTTTATTTCACCTTTTTACTGTGGGGAAATGGGAAGTTGGTATAGCATGGGGAAATGGTTTAAAAGGAAACTAGTGAAAATAAGCAACAACTGGTGTGTTGTTTTGTTCGTTATCTTTTCGGAGCATACAATTTTTTAAAACAACAGTTTTCTTCCCAAAGGTTAACAATTTTCTTTTTTGATGACTTTTCCCTTAAAGAACACAAAAAGGTAACAAGTAATGTTATAAGATGCTAATTTTAACAGTATTGTAGGGGGAAGCTGTAGCCAGTTAAATAGCAAACTGTTCTTTAAAATGGTGCACACTCTTAACCATAATCAATGAAAGTAAAACACGTTGCCTCATTATAGTAAAAAATATGGGACTCTTTTCCTTCAGTGGCCAAAGGCTTGGTGGCACAGCTTGAGTGGGGCAAGGTGGTGCAGGTTAAATAGGGTTGCTCAAGATCAGTTATAGATCCGATATGCCATGGGGTGCAATCCTTGCACCCAGATGTAGTGAACCTCTTTGGTCTGCTACAGTTTTTGAGAAAATAAAGGAACTGAAGGCTTCCTCCTAGAAGTGGGAGGAGACAGGTAGAGGCAGGGTCAGGGTGTTCTTCTTTCTCTACAGGCTGGGAAGCCAACTTGTTTTGTCAGGGAAAGAAAAGCTATAAAGAAAAGTAACACTGCCCCCATTGTCTCCTTCTTCCAGGAGTAAGCCATCATTTTAAAAAATTCCTCTAATTGGTTCTTCCCTCTGCCCCATGAGCAGAGAAGGGAATTTTTTCAATTTTCCAGTTATCTCATATCATGAAGTGATTAAACTTTCTTTAAAGCCATTAATGATATGAAAACCAGCCAGCTTGCTTTGGTTCATTTCTAGCATTCACACATGCTGAAAATGAACCAAAACAGAGCAATTCTAACTGCACCACAAAATTAGAAGCCCCCTGAGAGAAATAGATTGATAGAACTCTCTGGAGATGGGGCTGGTCTGGTCCTGCAAAGATGTCATCTGATTGCTGGCTTTTGAGTGACCCAGCCTGTCCACACAGTAAATCAAACAGCTGGTTAAATTTCTTTGTAGTCACCCCCTGACTAAACTAGCACTTTGTGCTATTCATGATAAAAGCATCACTAGCATGTTTTCCTCATCATTTTTTTCTCAGCTACCTCAGGGAGGAATTGTGCATGATTTTTAAAGCTGTGAGGTAGAGGGTATCTGGCGTTCTGCTTACTGTCCTGCATGGACAAGCTTTTATGGCTCCTGGTGTTTTTGGTAAGACGCAATGATCAAAATCCTGGTGTCTAGCATAGTAAATCAATAGGCCCATTGAATCAATGGGGATTTAGTCAATTAACTTCCCCATACAATTCATTGATTCAAATGGGGCTACGGTAGTTGCAAAGTACTTTAGTATAGTAAGTTACAGTTAAAATAGGCTCGTTTAAATCAACAGAACTGATAGTAGAGGAATTGACTCACTAAATCCCCGTTGATTCATTTGGCCTGCTTTGGGGTGAATTACTATAGATTTGGGCCATTGTGAAGCTAGGTTATGTTTACTGCCTCTAACACGAGGAAACCCTTTATTTAACATTTTCAGCCTTGAACACTTGCCTTCAAAATTCCTACAAAAACAACACTGTTCAAAATTATTAACTATGTTGCTGCCCATGCAATGTTTAATGGCTGGGCCTTCATTTTAATGTTGTTATGAAATATACATTGTGCCAAGACAGGAATACACATTTTCTTGAAGCATAATTTGCAACAGAAACTTCCAGCAAAGCAGAAACAAAATAGGGCGAAGTGAAAATATCCAATATCCAACTATGAATGAATGGATGACAAGAGGTAAATTAGATCCCTTCTGTAATAACCATGGGGAAATCTTTTCCTATTTGGAATCAAGAAACTAAATTACGTTGGAGTCTAAGAGGAAGGGAGCAGCAGATTCCCTGGTAACATTTTTTATATTTAGTTTTTCATGTGTCACTCTCTTTTAGTTAAGAACAGAAGTTTCTTGGCATATATTTTTGGTTTATTTAAATTCATACTCTTATTTTTTTGTTTCTTTTGGTCTCCTTCCACTAACCTTGTTTTCTTTCTAAATCACTTCTCACCCAATTTTTGGACTATTTAGCTTAATCTCTAATTTATATCCTCTTTGCCTGATAGAGTTATGGAAAACTTGAAAGTTCGTCTTATTTATAAATTTAGTGATTCACTGAAACTACTACACAACCCAGAACATTGTGTTTTTCAATGGATCACTTTTTCTACCTGTTTTCTTGCCTAGCCCACTCTATTTTCTGTCACTTGTTTGTTAAGTTGATAGACATTTCAACTCTTTAGGAGAATCCTGTAAAAGGTTGTGATAGTAAGAAAGATAGCAAAGATTTTGGCCCATTTTATCATCCCGCCCCTGCCACCATGTTCCTAGTACCCACATCTCATCTGCCTGGTTCTTAAGAAGTACATGGGAAACCCCATAGATGACAGCAAAATAGCGGGAATGGGATCACAGAATCACAGAAACATTGTAGGGTTGGAAGGGACCTTAAAGGTCTTCTAGTCCAACCCCCTGCCCAAGGCCGGAGACCTCATACAAGTTCAAGTTTAAGTTTATTGTATTAGCTAAAAGCCGTCACAATTGTTTAAAATACAAGTATAATCGAATAAAATCAAAATAAAAACACAGAGATATAAAATAATAAGAGACTGTTCATATCTGGGAGTCTCCAGCACAATTGATTGCAATACCTCTTAGGGAATTAGCGCGAATGTTTCTGGCCGCTTTTGCTAACAGTGCTGTTCTGTAAGTGATATATGGGTCACAATCCAAAAGCAACCTGACCACCTTTGTCTGGGGGCTTTCGTCCTGTAGAGCAGCCAAGATGTTACCCCGGACGTTTTTTTCTTGAAAACCTCATAGCATCCCAGAGGTTTTTTGAAAACCTCATACCATCCCGGAGGTTTTTTCTTGAAAACCTCCAGCGATGGGGCACCCACAACATCGGGAGGCAAGCTGTTCCACCGCTTAATGGAAATTCCTTCTTATTTCCAGGTTGGATCTCCCTCTGATGAGTTTCCACTGTCTATGCTTCTAGGGAGGATTTCTCCTTCCTCTCCAGGTTGTTATAGGCCTGATCCTTATATGGAATCAATCATTAGGAAGATTCAGCACTACAAGCTGTTTTAAGAGCAATTTAAGACAAATGTTTGACTGGATTTGTTCAGAGCAGGGATTCCCAACCTTGGGTCCCCATATGTTTTTGGACTAAAACTCCCCAAAGCCTTCATCACTAGTTGTGCTGGCCAAGATTTATGGGAGTTGTAGTCCAAGACCCAAGATTGGGAACCACTGGTTTAGAGGAACTGAATACTCCTTATACTGCTCCTGTCCACACATCTTAGAACACCATCTATTAACCAATGTGCTTTTACAGAGAAAAACAAGGAAGAAAGGGACTGACTGATTCCATTCTGTTAATAATAAATAATACCAGTAACTTTGTTTAAAAGGGGAGATTAAGGAAGGATGTCTGCTTCCAGCTTGTGGTTGGCCTTCATAACCCACAAAATCTTGTATAACCTCACAATTGATGGTAATCTTAATTTCTTATACTTCGCCATCTTGGACCTCTAATATATGTTTTTAGCCTTATTGTTTTTAAATTTGTAAACCGCCCAGAGTAGACCTTTGGTCTAGATAGGTGAGATAGAAATCCAATAAATAAATAAGAAAATAAAAATAATCAGTGTAGGTTACCTTGGAATCCAATTGTTGCATATAAGACCAAAGATATTCTATATTTGCTCCAAAAGGATGGACGTGAAGAAATGTTGATATGATGCCTGTGTTTTAAAAAACACACAACAAAAACATGACCATTTTCGTGGGCAAACAGAACATGCTAAAACAAAGCAATTTTCGCATATGGCAGTGCTTAGTTTTTATCCAAACAAAAATGTTTACTTCTTAAGCAATTCTGTAAGAAGAGCACATTTAAACAGAATCTCTTACCCTCAAGAATGACAGCAGTTTACATAAAAGTGACCAAGAGGAAGAGAGAGAATATAAGACTAAGACTTGCTTGTAGCATTTGTTTCAGTTTCCAATTTTATGCTTGATTTGTCAATAAAAAATTGTAGGCACTGAGATGATAAAATTGTTGCTTTTTCTCCTTCAGTGGCTCTTGTCATGAAAATGGTGCATATCAACTGTATTCAGAATTGCACTGCCTTGAAATTTCTTAATGATTTCAGCATGGGTTGTGTTTGATCCAGATTAGTGAACAAACAGAAATATTTTTTCTAGGCAACCACTTTATCTGGCCTAGCTTCACTTTTATGCAACAAACAGGAATGAGCATATATGACCCAGGACTCTGAGGAGAGAGACTCTTCCATAAGTTACTGTATCTCTGGACATCAAGTCATGCAGGTAGTTGAGGTACAAAGCTAATTTCACATGAAAACATCTTTGATGTGCACTAGACTACCTCTGTGATGTTCCATCAGACTAATGTTGTTACTCTCCTGAAATTCTATGACATTTCTTCCTGTGCCTAAAATGCAAGATATCTTTGGCACACAGTGGCTGAAATCCTGTTACATAGTTGTACAAATGGCATAACTTTTAGTTGTGAGTTGCCACAAATTAAGAAATCTACAAAGGTATTAATTGTTGTAAGTTTAATCATGTGACTCAGTATGCAACAGGTAACTCCAGCTCTGCAGTTGTAAGATGATGATAATGATGATGATGATGATGATGATGATGATGATGATGATGATGAATGTCTGCAGAAATTTCTTAAACTTGCAGCAACTCACTTCCAAAAATTATGGTACTTGAGCAACAGGATTTCAGCCAAATGTTTTTCATTGTGAGAGAGTAAATTGTCTACACTTCATCTTCTGTCTAGTTCCAAACAGTTTTAAGGACTTAGGAAATGATACTGCATGGATGGCTAGACTAGAAGGAAATCTCCACAGACAACTAACAACAGAAAGAACATCTCTAACCCCTCCCTTTCTTTCCCTCCTTCTTAAGTTGTTCTTAAGCAGACAAAAGCTGATTAACCCTTTTTGTTTCCTCAATGATAACTCTTCAGGAACCTTTTCATCTTCCCTCATCTCTGGGAGGGAAACATCCTTGGAAGGAAGAGGCTGATGCAACCCAGGCAAGATACAAGGGAGAGAGAGCAGTGTGAGTGAGAGGGGCCTACTTAGGCAGAATATTTACTGGGGCAAAGCTGCCATACATGACATATATACTAAAGAAATAGAGCAGCATTAGCCCCAAATGTTTGGAACCTCTGTTTGACAAAGCACCACAGTCCTAGTCATTTTCCATCTCAGAACTGCTCTCTTCCAGGTGTCTCCTCCCCCCCATCCACAACATGGGAAACCACATAGATAACACGGAGTGTATGGAGTGTGTGTGAGCTTTCCTCCTGTGGGTAAAAAGGACCTGCTTTTATGTTGCTCTGGTATATTTCAAAAATATGAAAAAACATCTTTTTAAAGAAAATATCATTTACATTGTGAAGAAACTGAGAAATTGGGGGAATATGGAACATGGAGTTCTTCTGCAAAATTCAAGCTTATCTGTCATTGGCTGGTAATGTGAATGGAAGTGTCTGCCCTGCAGTAACACCTGCAGTTCATCTTTTGTGAGAGAGACCTTCAAGGTCAAGATGGTTTGTTCCCTGGTACTTTTCTAATTAGAAAATGACTGTATGAAAGGAAGAGGACAGAAAGTGCTATTGTCTTTGTGAACGTTTGAAGAAACTCGAACCCTGATTGGCAGACTGCCTGGAAGGATCCAGAATGTGATGCTTAATGTATAAAGAGGGATTCAGAGGCTGCTTTAGTTGGCTTAGCTTACCTCTCTGGAGATACTATGCTCAGTTGCTGTCCTGTCATTCCATGCCTGAAAATATGCACTCTGCACATGCCTCAGAACTCTAAACTGATGTGTACTAGGCAGATTAGTGTAGCTTTGTTATTTTCTGTTGTGGTTTTCTTAATTTCTTCAGCCTTTTTTGTCTGAAATTGTGGTTATTTTGCTACAAGTGCTTTTTGAAACCTCTTTGAACCCTTTTAGGACTTTTGGCTTTTTTTTACCTTTTTTCAATAAAACATAAAAGTCTTCAGTTTCTCCAGCTGTCTGGCTTTTTTTGACTTAGACTGTTTGTAGTACTAAAACTAAGTCTTGCCCAACTACTGGGAAGTTAGGAATTTTTGGGTGCAGTGGCAGATCTACCTTGCAGGATAGGCATAGCAGTTCTGAGTGCTGAGCCTTGTGGACCTTTGGTCACCCTAGAAGCACTGCTACATCAGTGTAATCTGGAGTATTGGGAGGCACCAGTGCCAAGTAGGTTCCCTAGTCATTACCACATTTGACTTTCTTAGGCTCACCCATGCCAGGATAAATGAGGCAGAATGCCTGGGTGGCTAGGGAGGAATTTCTTGAACATGGTAATTCCATCACAGATATGTTTTTAAAAATAAAACAAACAAACGAATGAATGAATGAATGTGATAAATGAACTCATAGGATTGGCTGAAAAAAGTCACATAACTGATACAAAATATCTGGGAAAAATTATCTATGATTGATCACAGAAAACAATTATAAAAGCATATCTTTCATCATACACCTTGTTCCATAAAGTGGCATGAGCTGCAGAGAGGAAGCTATAAAGCATGATTGTAATTTATATGACTTATAAAAGGAAACTATACACTAAAATATGTCACTGAGTATTTGAATTTCTTATGGTTTTTGAAAAACTAAATTTCCTGTTGTGTATGAGAAAAGATACATTGTTTTTTAAAAGAAAAAGTTATTTATATTTTTAAGAAATAAGAAAAACAAATACAAATTGAAAGCAATTAGTTACAATGAATGAACGTGTGTAGGAAAAAGACAGAAGTCAGGACGCACGCAGGTCATCTGGTCAATTATCCCCAGTATGATGATATATATTCAGTACTTTCAGAGGTTGGAAATTGCAAATCAGATTTGAATTCATTATACTTATTTTTTTAACCAATTCTACTAACTCTGGGCAAAGAGAACGAGAATGAAAGGTGAACCAAGCTAATGCTTATCCCATTAAATTTGAAAGTAAGCACTGAGACTGAATCATATCATAAAGTTATCATAAAAATATGGCTTACACAGTAAATGATGGAGCAAATCATCCTTTTTAGTCTGTTTTGTGAGGCAATAAGGAAAAGAAGTAAAAAAGCAACTCTAGTGATAACAGTGTATGATTCAATTTTTCTCATGCAGGCATCCTATATAAATTTGGTGGCATTAGGACTTTTTTAAATCTGGGTGGTTTATTAGAATTTGCACCCTCTCTGACTTTTCACTAATTCACAGGGCTTTTGTTATGAGGATGAAGGATCAGACCCACATATGCTGCCTTGAGTTCACTGAAAGAAATGTTATTAAATAGCAGTAAGACTTCAGAAAGAAACTTATATGGAGGAGTACAATCCACTTATACCTTTTACTAAATCTGCAACGGACGCCACTCTACTACTGTAACCCCATCCAGCACATTTTATTGGGTATCAGCCCCAATGATAATTGAAGATACTGCCTTGGTGAATGTGCAGAGTAAATAGTTAAAATGAATATGTGCAGACTTCACAACTTCACCTTATTTTATTAGCCTTATGAGATTAAATTATTTTACATGAGTAGGTAGTAAGGCAAAATTTATAGAGGGAGCTACCTTATCTTTTAGACTGTGAAAATCAGGAACTATACGTTCCTAAGAAATATGTGCTCTGATTTTCTTGGCTAGTATCCTATTCAATACGTACACATGCAGATTTCCAACTTTGGAAACTGCTACAGCAACCTGGTTAAGGGCCAGTTGCACATGGCCATGTGCCTGGTTGTACAATTGGTTGTGTGCTCAAGCACACTACATCAGACTGCTGTGTAGCTTTACAGTTGGAAACCCATGTAAAAACTGAACATGATGCCAGCCCTGGATTCAAAGTGTGTTAGGAGGAACAGTGTAGCGTTGTGTAATATTGCAGGTGAATGTTCTGCAGGTATTACAAGCACTCAAAATAGTACTGATTAGGAACATATCCAAGAGTAGGGCTGTGAATCCTGTCATCCCCCATACTTTTTGCTCATTATCCACTAAAACCTGAAATTGTGTTCTTGTAGATATATACAAAATTCTGAAAAAGTATTTGCTGAATAAGGTGGTAAAATCAAATAATGAAGATAGACTTACAACCGATCCATAAGTAAAGCAAGTTTCATCAACCTGTTTTTTTGGTTTTTTTAAAAATTCATTTTCTATACTACCCGTAGTCATCAAGTATATCTTGCCACTACCATTTTCCTTGGGTCACACACTGAAATACAAAAGGCTTCATGACTAGTTTATTCTTACATAAGTACCTTGGTTTTGCCGCAAGCAGTGTTATGATTGGAAATGGAGAAGAGAATTACCTTACCTATCAAGAGCGCTTCTTTCTCTGATTTTAGTGGTTGGCTTCGCTTCTCGGATTTTTTTTCTCTGTCTTGGTTGACCAATGGGACTGTCAGCACATTGATTTCCTATAAGGTTTAAAAACAAAATAAAACAAAACAGGTGCTTATGTGGAAATCATCCATTTCCATAAGTATTGCTGGCATTCTTCATCTCTATAAAAAAAGATCATTACTTTAACTTACAGCTACAGGCAAGACAATTATAAGTTATTGATCCATTTCTAGATGCTTTGTATTCCCAGCTGGGGAGAAAGGAAGAAGCAGCCAGCATTGTCTTTTTCTTGCTTTTACTAGAAATGACAGAGGGAGGTTCAAACTGAGCAATAAAGAGGAATCTCTTTTTACATTTGCCATTCTGTTAACAAATTAAGCTATGATCTGACACCTACCATAGGTATTTCCAGAATCAAGACAAATACAGATAATACAATATAGGAGCCTATATCTATCTCAGTCTCTACAACTTAAAGAAAAATGCAGATGGGACTGTGAATCAACAATTCTGTAGGCAAAATCACCACTTTTCAGACAATGATACACATATATCTCCAGCGTAAAGCAAATGACTTTATTGACAAGGACCACACTGATTGCCTTCCATGTTGATGATATTTCATTTCAACCAAACTGCAATAGGATTCATTTCTGAAAGTGAAATAGGAGTTTTGGGCAGAAATGATGGAGGATTTCATTTGGTCAGCACCTTAAAATGAACCAACGTAGAGTGCAGATAGGAAAGCAGTTGTCCTTCTCTGAATTTTGTGGTGTGTTTCTTCACACAAAAATGCATACACAATGCATATTTAAGGAAATATTCATACAAAAATTGATATTTCTAGGGAGGGGGTAATACACCGATATTGGGGCAGACACCGACTTAGGAGTGAAGGCATGTGAAACTAGCATGGTACAGAAATTGATTGCCCATTCTTACTGGTGGTGGGAATGAAGCTTCTTCTAGAAGAGAACGATTTCCCTAGAAAATGGCAAAATAGTGGTGAAGAGAAGGGAGCGTACTCAGCATCATGGTGCAAGTTTGCCTTCTTTAGAGCGGGTGCATTGGCACATGGCAGGAAGCAATGTTTCCTGTTGCCATGAACTTACTAGTTGTTCATGGACTGGCCATTTTTCTTACAATCTTTAGAATATGGATATATTATTAATCAACCATTTGGCATTACTTTAAAACTTATCATGACACTCTAGTTGTCTACAGATTTGTGGACACAACAGGTTGACTATGGGTTCAGCAGTTGGTAGGACCCTAAACAGAAACTGTCTCCATAAATCCAAGTGTCTTAAAATTGGTAGGTTTCAGTTTTGGAGTCATATTGGCAGAAAAAATGAACACAGGCCTAGAGAGCCTCTTATCACATGTGTGAGGAAGTGACAAATGATCTTCTGAACAGGTACAGATAGTCTGCAATCCACCAAAACAGAGGCATCCAACTACCATGTGGCCTACGAGGTGTTTCTGTACTTCCAGGAAGACAAGTTGACCAAATCCTTGGTGGGTTGCCCAATGTAGCTTGGTGGATAATAAGTTGTGTAAGTGTACTGTCTCTGAGGGACAGCGACAGAAGAGGAATGACTCCAGTCATCTTAATGCTTTTAATCTCCAGGTCCAAAATAAAAAAGAGCTTGGCTGATTGGCAAAGAATGAAGTTGCATTGAGGTGTTAGGAATGCCAGTCCTGGGAACACGCTTAGAGGGGGAAATCTCGACCATATTCTTCACAGTTTTATTATTGGGTCTGAAAACAAAAAGCTCCTGCCTGCATGTAGCAAGCAAAAATCTCAGAAAATCTGGGAGTTGCTTGTCTGTAGCACTTACACATAGAGGCAGGAGACTTTAAATAAATGTCTTTAAAAACAACAGTGCTCTTGAAGAGAAAGAGTAGAGTGCTACTCCATCAGAATCTTTCTTTTCTCAGATAGGAAACTCTTGGTTTTACTGAGAGAGATCAGATGTTTCCCAAAGGCATGGTCAAGAACAAGAGCACACAGTAAGAGGAAGCTTTCTACCCATTTTATGATACTCTGCTTATATTGAACACAAGAGAAATCTGTTTTCCTTGCCTGCAAACAAAGTAGGAAAAGGAACAGGGGGAGGGGGAACAACTGAGGAGACATCTTCCTGTCAACAGAAGGTGGGGAACAACACCCACCATTCCAGAAGATTATTGCCTAACAAGCGCAGAGCTTGCATTACAGAACAACAAAGACAATGAACAGTGAAGTGGCCACAACTGCCCACTGGGGTGGGCGGCAGTGGGGGAATGGATAGAATATGAAGCAACTTTTGTTGCTTCAATGATGCAAGCCTTTTTGTGGTTTCAAATAGTGCCCAATGCACAACATTTTAAACCACAGTGGGGTTTTCTCTATTGTCATCTGGGCTTGTCTGTCAGTGGCTGGGAGTCCAGCGGCAACAGTAGTGGAAATGGTGTTTTCGATGTCCAGGGAGAAACACCCAGGCACACACTGCTACTGCTGCCACCAACATAGTTCCCCTCCACTACCACCACTATCCAACAGTCAGCTGGGTGACAGCAACTGTCCAGCAGGTGGCAACCAGAAGCACAGCAGCAGCAGTATTGTCATCATTGTTGCCATCTCTAAGGACCAGAGAGACACCATCACACACACACACACACACACACACACACACAGAGCAGCAGCAGCAGTATTGTCATCATTGTTGTCATCTTTAAGGACCAGAGAGACACAATCACACACACACACGCACACACGCACACACACACACACACGCACACACAGAGACCACTATTGCTGCCAGTGCACTCCTTGGCCAAAGCCACCACCATCCAGCTGTGTGAAACACACACATTGAAATGCATATGTGTTTCAAGCAGTTTCTCTCCAGTTTGCAGATAACCCACAAGAAAGAGCTCACGACAGGTAATCTACAACCGTGTAGTTCCTGCCAGTATCCTTCACTGCACTCGGGGCATCAGGCAGACTCAGGAAGCACAGGGCAAGCCACCTGGCACACAAACTTCTCTCCACTGCTCCACCTGCCCTCCTCCCCTTCAAACATATGTTGTAGTGCACCAGCATCACCAGGGTCGCACCTGCCCTCCTCCCCTTCAAACGAATGTTGTAGTGCACCAGCATCACCAGGGTCTATTGCATTAAGTAGGACAATACATGCACAATGGCTTCTGAAATGTGCCCTGTCTTGGCTTGCTGCCTCTCTGGATGTCATTTGGTCAGGGACCTCTCCCAACAGTTCTATCTAGGCAGATTGTTTAGGGCACACATGGACACACTCATCTCTCATGCCAGGAGCAAAAAAGCATTGCTGCTACTGCTGTGCTTATTGGGAACAGCAGATGGGAAGGCCAGATGACTCAGGGCAAAAGCCTCTGGGTGGCTGTCCCCATCTGAGAAGCTGCAAATTGGGGTAACTTCCAGACTTTGCTGGCAGAGCCAGTTCAGCCGAGTATCAAGGTATACTTGGTGTTGCCACTGTGGAATAAGTTGACTCGGGAGGTTTTGCTCTGTTCTGTTTTCTGAGTGGGATGATGGGTGCTCCATTACTCTTGCAGCAAAATTTAGAGAGATTCTTATCTATTTATTTGCAAAATAAAATTAACTAAAAAGGGTACAGATAAAAAGAGCGAAAGAAAAGAAAAACCAATGCTTGCAAGGATTATAGCATCAAAACACACTGAAAATAATCAGAAACATCAAGAGATATCAATAAAGTACAGCACCCAATCTGACCCAACTCCAGGAGGCATTGGAAGACAGGAGGGCCTGGCGTGCTCTGGTCCACAGGGTCATGAAGAGTCGGACACGATTTAACGACACAACAACAGCCAGAGGTGTAAAAGCCAGAGAAAAACAATTCGGTAGAAAGACTTCATGCACTGCAGCACAGTTTGAAACACAATTAGGATTATTTGTTCCCGTGTGCTACCATTCATCTTGGAAACATCAGTCTGGTGTTTCATAGTAGGGTGATGTCATCTGTAAACTTGGCAACAAGATTTATCTTATCATCATGACACATGTTATAAATATCAACATTTTACCTTTATATAACATTTGAATATCTGGGCCCTTAATCATTTTTTCCTCTGAATCCAACAACCTCTTATCCAAAGGTGTTTTGTCTTTCTGAAACCCTATAGCTTTATCTTTTACATATCTAGACTTCAATAAGTTTATCGACCACCAGTCTAGGATAATACCTTGTTCTGCCAGTTCATCTTTGTTTTTTAGATGAAAATCTCTATCTAATATCTCAGCATATCTCCCGTTTATCTCTTAAGGTGTTCTTGCCAGATCAGAGAACGCTTCTAATGGAGCTACCCATAATGGTATCTTTCTGTAATGTTGTACCTTAACTGTCTTCCTGTATAGGCATCCTTCAGTCTAGAGAGACTATGGTAACATGCTCTGAATCGAAGAGTGTCCTCTCCAGAGCATGAAGCCCGGGTAAAGTAATATGGAGGATAAGCTGTTACCCAAGCAGCAGATCCCCCCTCTCCACATTGCTGAAATGGTCCAATGGAAAGGCAAGAGCCAATACGACTGGTTCCATCAACGTCGCAGGAGTTGGCAGAATGACACGAGCTGCTTTTGGGACTCCAGCTCCGGATTTTGCCTCTAGGTTAACTCCTGAAGCCTTTTCCATGAGTGGATATAGCCACAAGGCAGTGGAGGTTTGAAATCAGAGTTTTCCTTCTCCTAGATGGTCTGCCTTCCATGGCTGACGAGCCCCACCTACCCAGCCTGCTCTTTAATAGTGCGAAAGTATGATCTGACCCTTAAAACTTTCCTGCCTCCCAGGCTTATGAAAGTCTAATTGGATTTCCTATTTACCATATTAAGGCCAGAGATAGAAAGAAAGGTTACTTACCTGTAACGATGGTTCTTCAAGTGGTCATTCTGTGAATTCACACAAAGGGTTAATACCAGCGCCAGCGTTGGGCCTCTCGGAACATTCTCTAGCTGCAAGAGAAAAGTAACAATGTTTAGGACTACCCCTACTGCGCACGCCCAGCCTAACCGTCCCTCAGTTCCATTTGTCCGCCA